ATCTATCTATCTATCTATCTATCTATCTATCTATCTATCTATCTATCTATCTATCTATCTATCTATCTATCTATCTATCTATCTATCTATCTATCTATCCACAGGTTAATCAATAAAAAGTATAAAAGGACTGACATTCACAGTTAATGGCCAAAGTGTAAATTCTTCAACTACAGTTTTGCCATAATTCTGGCGCCTTGTTTCCACACTGTTACGTCAGAAAACACTGTAATTATGAATATAATGTACATAATACTGAACATTTTGGTGATAGTGACTGAATGTACACAGAACAGATAAATGATTCAAAAGTAGTTGTTTAAAAAAAAGAAAAGCGGAGCCTCTTCTGTTAAGTAGCCTACACGGTTAGAATTAAAGATATTGAGCATCTGTACATAAATAAGGTTCTTGTGTAGCATATACTGGCACAATAATCCCTGTCAGTGACAAAAAATGTGTATTTTGTACTTTATCAAAGCAGTAGGCTACCAGAGGTTTAAATGACGTTACCGATCACTGCTACATTCATAATACATGTGGTGAAAGAAATTATAAATGTTGATAATGTAGACTTAGGGTCTTTTATTTACGTATGTTTTATTTGTACTTAATTTAGCCGGTCATTTTTTTTCGTAGCCTCCATGCTATGCTGTTGTGAAATTCTTCGTATCTGCTGTAATGTGACTGAAACGTAATAAATGATGATATCATCAAGTCATGTTTTATTTGATCACATCCAGTTCAAACAGAATGCGTTTGAAACATACGAAAGGGTTTATTATAATCTGCTATTTTCCACAAAGGCGTCATGTGGATCATCTTTCCAGAATTTCAAAGCGCAGTGCACCGTGAAGTATCTCGTCTCTGAGAGGGCTTCAAACAGTTAAGGCAGTTCTCGAATATTTAAATCCCACTGTGATCAGCCAGAACACCTCCAATTACAACAGGCTTTAGGTAGGCAGTCCTTTCCCTCATCGGCATTCCCTCCCAAGCCACAGGAAGCTTCCAAAGATATTTATTTTCAGATGGACATCGTGTCCATTGATCGTGTCCATTGATCGGCTCGGGATATGATGAGACTTTCACGGCACAAACTTTACAGCCAAGTAAAATTATAAAAAAAAGAATAATAAATTAAAATTAAATACAACGGAACAAAATGTGAGTCTTTGATTGGCGCTATAGACTTCATCGGTATTCATTTGTTTCGTTGGCCTATTCATTGTCTGACTCAACAGTAAGAGTTGTTCCTACAACATTTGGTTGGATTCGTTTTGCAGCATGTTTGCCAAAGATTGTAGAGTGAAAACTTTTGTTGTTTTTTGGTCATAGTTTCAAACACTGAAAAACTGTGAGGTTGACAAATTCTCTGTTTGGCACCCAAAGGAAATGACACGTTAAAAGAGTCTTGACTATATGTGAAAGTGTGCAGAGGAGCAGAAGACACCAAGAGAAAACAGAAGACAGGCAAACAGGCTTAATAATGAGGTAACATTTTTCTATTTATTGTTTTTTCAATAAACAATAAATAGCACATTTTTCGTTAAATTCCCGTGTAAATGACCCACCATGCTTAATCATGGGATTTTATTGGAATTATTAAACATTAATATCCAGTTTATCAAATTTATATAAGAACAGATACTAATTAAAACGGATGCTGAACAAACTCAGTGTGCACTTAATTGGAATTTGTCGTGTGAAGGAGACGCTCACAGCTGTCAATATGAGATGTGGCATTTAGCTCCTCATACTGTCAGCTATAGGCCTTCCCTGGGATAAACAGCAGATGGCGATAACTGAATACAGGTTTTATAATCAAACAACTCCTCCAATATGTGGTCCAGAGCTTTTAGGTCACCACAGAGGCAACAAAACCTGTAAGAAAACTCTCTCTTTTTTTCCTCTTCATTTTTTTTCATTAAAAAAAAAGATTGATTCGTTATTTATGAGTTAAGTAAGGGTATCCTCTGAGTTTCCCCTGGATTCAACTACACGTGGATGGTGATCTACACCAGATGGTGGTGCTTTACTATTTTTTGTAGCAGTTAAAAGAACCCATGCTGTTCAAAAGACTCAAATGTTTTCTGCAAGCTCTGACAAACTTGACAAACAGTCTTGTAAACACTGGCCCCGAACACAAGCTGAAGAAAGTACAACAAAAATCACATGCAAACTGTATCTGTTGGCACTGGAGAAAACGCGCTCTCTGCGAAAGCCTGTTCATCTTCACATGTAGTCTACTTTAATACAAAGCAGCAGTTTTGTTTCTTTTAAATCATTTACTCTGTTGGAGGATGACCCACGGCTGAGATGACCCCGTCCTCTAAGAAGGGGTGGGGCATGATGGGTACTTTTATGCCAAAAAGCGATTTTCAGTATTTGCCAAAACGTGATTGCTTGGGTTTAAACTGCTGTAAATTACTTATTGGCTTAAATATGTAAAATATATGTGAAA